AACTATTTTTATTTGTACTGTAGGTTCTCTTCAAGTTGAATTTCGTTTAAGAGCTGATGAATACTGGTGCTCAAATGTATCTGGTCTTAACGAAGGAACATCAGGTAATATTTTGAAAAAATGTAACTGAATCAGATAGTTGTTTTTCTCGGTAGGTTCTAAAATATGCTTCCACGTTTTTCTCTTCTAGATAATAATAATTTTGACAATGATTTTAAAAATAAATCAACATGATCGACATCATCATTACAAGAAAATTTCAGCATCGGAAAAATCGATAGACAGTTTTAATAATTGTAAAGATTGAAAAAAAGATATTCAACTTCGGTATTTTTATTATTGAAGCTATTTTGATTATTATAATTAACTTTTGATTATGATGTTCGGCATGATGTTTCATATACATATATAGATTTTACTTCTATTTTACTTTCATTTGAATCTAGTATTTCTGAACCCGTTTGTATAGTTTTCGTAGCATTGAGATGCCATCTTTCTGTATCTCAAGGGTTATTCATGTTTTCTACGTTTCTTNTATGCCTATTGAGAAGATTTAATGGATTAAGAGAGTATCCATGAGGCGACCGAGAATCACACCATTAACTGAGATACCGGCCAAAATTGTGATTTTTGATTGTTTCCATGTGTGTTTGAAAGGGCATTCTCTGGAACTATGGAGCCAAAACTTTTAGCTCATTGCGATGTATTATACAAAAATTAACCAATACCAAATTTTGAGCATTACGAACCCATAATAAAAAAATAGTCGAAAATCATTCCATAAATATTTATTATGGTTATGCTTCAACAAATGAGAGAATTGTTTCGTACAATATACCACAAAATATAGTATTAATAGCTGAAATAAAATCTGCAAGCGCAAACTCTGTGGGAGTGAACTGTGAAACTGGCATCTGTTCTTTAGCCTCATTAAACTAACACAAAATCAGTGAAGTGAAAATTCCTCATAGACTATAGTTTTGTTTGAAGATAACCGATCAGCAAATAAAGAGTTGCCTGTTTTTATTTTTGCATTTCGAACATTATTTTTTTATTTTTTTCAGAGGCACCCTAGTTTTTGTTTGCACAGTTGCAATTCGCTCGTTGTTTTATGTTTTCCTATTTTGTTAGCTTAATTTAACATTTTTATCGTTAGAAGCTTTGAATTATATGAAAAATAAAATAGTTGTTGTAAATATCCTTTATATCTACAACAGCCAGTCATAATACACTATTATATATCTCGATTAATGAACAACAAACCTATATTGATTATATTTTAAAATTATAATTTGATGAATCGACACTCTTTATGTTGATCAAATAACCATTATGATGACTTTGTCTCATTTCAAGTACTTTTTCGTTTAAGTCAGATTGAAAATAAACAAGTATTTGTTATTTACTTTTTTCAAAGAGAAATTCTTTCCAAATAAATATGAAGACTCTAGAATTTCACAAATGGCAAAAGTTCAGGGTATGTATTGACAAAATTCCAGCGGATTTATCGATGAAAGTACAATAGACTTTTGCCAGTCTCCAGGAATTAATATACATCTGGGTTCCATGTGGAAACTTGAGGTGTCAGAGTATATATGTCTTTGTCTTTAATTTTGACTAATTCGAATATGACCGATTTACGATTTTAATGAGAAAAAGCGAGAATAATATGTAAAAACCCATGTCGTGAAAATCGTCGCGATTTTGGCGATTTCTCGAAAAATGAACGTAAAATCGCGATTAATCGAAATAGGCTGAAAAATCAACGATAAAATCAGATTTTATTGTGATATTGAAAAGAAAACCGATTAATCGTAATCGCTGAAAAATCGGAATGATTAATCGCGATTAATCAGATGTTTATAAAATAATCGGATGTAAATGTATTGTTGAGTAATTAAAATTTTGAGATAAATCTACAAAAAATACAAATTCAGTGCACTAGATTGTGGCTTTAGACGTGCACATAATGAATAATGGAAAAAAATTAATTAGTACATTTCATGTCAATAGCATATCTTTCATTTGGTTGGACAATCCGGACAAAGAGCAATTATTCGCTCATTGTTTGTATTCTTTAGAAAAAAATATTTGAAAGTTTAATTTCACTAGCATCAAATATTAATGCTAATTCAAGTATATATATATAAATTCCTTCTATTGCACAGAATTCAGTTTTTAGTCAAGGTTTAATGATTTTTTATGCATTCAGGTACTAGAGCTCATAATAATCATATTTCGTTTGATTAACATAAAAAAACATTCATTTTCATTTTAAACAGTGAAAAAAAATAGCCAAAGCTATACGAAATCATAAAGTAAAGAAAACCGATCTTAGTCAAATATTTAGTTCTCTTTTAGATTCAAATCGCATTGTGTGATAAGACAGGATTTGAAGTATCAACATGAATTTTTAATCCTGGCAATATTATAAGTAGAAATGTATTAAATTTCTTTTTAACCTTTTTCTTTCTATTTTCAACTTTAGTAGTGGAAAAAAATTGGTCTTCTTCAAATTTCAGGTGAAAAAGAAAATACAAGTAAATTGTATTAGGGACTGTCGATGAAAATTTCAAGAAGAAAAAGAACTTCGTCATATTGATTCATCTTGTATGGATACAGATGATGGAGTTAGAATGATTAGAGGTAAGCCATTTCAACTGCACTACGTAACTATTTTTATTTGTACTATAGGTTCTCTTCAAGTTGAATTTCGTTTAAGAGCTGATTTGTAGGTAACAATTTGAATACTGGTGCTCAAATGTATCGGGTCTTAACAAAGAAACATCAGGTAATATTTTGAAAAAATGTAACTGAATCAGATAGTTGTTTTTCTCGGTAGGCTCTAAAATATGCTTCCACGTGTTTCTCTTCTAGATAATAATAATTTCGACAATGATTTTAAAAATAAATCAACATGATCGATATCATCATTACAAGAGAATTTCAGCATCCGAAAAATCGATAGACAGTTTTAACGATTGTAAAGATTGAAAAAAAATTTTCAACTTCGGTATTTTTATTATTGAAGCTATTTTGATTATTATAATTAACTTTTGATTATGATGTTCGGCATGATGTTTCATATACATATATAGATTTTACTTCTTTCATTTGGATCTAGTATTTCCGAACTCGTTTGTATAGTTTTCGTAGCATTGAGATGCCATCTTTCTGTATCTCAAGGGTTATTCATGTTTTCTACGTTTCTTTTTGTCATCTACCGTAGTACATAGGTATTCTAACATTTCCTTTTTTTTCTATTTTTTTTGTGGGATTTCATAGGAGAATTATGTGGAAAATGGAAAGGTGACCATCTAACTTTTTTCGTTTTCTTTTTTACTTTTAATTTAAGCGTGATCAAAATGATAAATGTTTTTTAAATAAAAATAAATTTAAAAAATAGATATGTAGTTAAAAAAATAAATAAAATTTCTCGGAAAACGCGATAATACCAGATCAGATTGGCGATAAAGCTATAGTTAACATGTAAAAAATCGGGAAACAACTCGCGATTTATCGTAATAATCACTAAAAATATCATTAAAAATCCGCGACTAATCGCGTTTCAGCTCACGATTATCGTTTCGATATATCACGATTAATCGCCAATTTTTCAGAGATTTTTAGGACATGGGATATTTATTTTAAATATAGATTACTGATAATTTATATTTATTTTAAAGAAACAGGAAAATCACACCCCCAGTGAATAAAGCGCATAAGTTCACAGAATTCTGAATTTTGCATGCCCTTATCAGGCATCACATGATTCAGATTTCGATGTACCCAAAATAATCTCATCAGATCTTTTCAACATCACTATACTTATTTTCAAGTGAAAGATCTGATTAAATGAGTTCGATAGAAGCGATTCTCTTTTTTGCATTTGAAAATTTTTATAAACGATGTTAAATTGGTTTACGAGGATGTTGAGAAATCATGTTGTTGCGATAACATAACATGTTTTTTCTATTATGCTGAAGAACGTTTTGCTTCTTTTTTCTATAATACTATGCTCTGCAGAACCTATTGGTATGCTTGGAACTTTCCTATTTTGTCTTTGTTATCGGCTTAAGGTGTTTCTTTTATTTCCGGTAATGTTTGATCACACGTTTGCAATATGTAATGATTTAAATCTTGTCCTGTCTCGAGTGTAGCTGTGACCGTCCTTGATGCACATTTTACATGTGAAAAAAATAGAGTCAAATACCAAAATCCATGATTAATACAACGACATAATTCTCTACACTTGTCAAATATGAGCAAGAAGAGAGCCCTCTTTTATCCTTTATTGATACAACAGGTAGACAAATTCAGAGATTAAATAACCCCATTACTTTATCTGTGATAACAGACAAGTATTTGCTTAGACAACAATATTTAATATGCAGAACTTGGTTATTCCTAACAAAAACAAGTTATAATTGAATTTCTCGCAGCATATTTATTTACTTGATATAGACACTCTTTATTATTTCAGACACAAAAACAATCGTATATCACTTCATGGAAAAAATGTTCGGAAAATTGCAGGTAACCATTGCTGAAAAGACATGCGTATTAAGCAGATCTCAGTTAGATTAAGATCGAACGAGGAAAATTCCATTAAATACTGTTGCTTTCGTTGGATGCTTCTTTAAAACATAATAATTTAAGAAGAGAACAATTCGTTGTGATCGAAACGAAGTAGACAAGAAACATATTTGACTTTTCTCAAGAGTGAATGAAAGATGTTCATCGTTCCTAATTATATTATTTTGTAGAAGCTGGAAAAAATTGTTCAACAATTACCAAAAGAAGTTATAACAAAACAAAAGATAGATGAATCGGTATTTATCATTCGTGGCAAAGACAAAGGAAGACCAGCATGGCATTATATCCTTGTTCCTGTTGCCAAACTGGGTGATTTTAATTGCAGGAAAGCGGGTGAAACGCTCGATATCACAGAATATGGCCGCATAATTGAGTATCGTAACCACCTAAATAAAATTCAACCAATGTCGTCATGGGGTGTGGATCCACCAGAAGAACTTCAAAAATGGGTTGAAGAACATTATGGTAAGAGAATGTCAATCTTATTTTACAACAGGTTTTTTGTGATGAACAATATTATCTAGCAAGAAAACACATATATGATAGATATAACTTTTTACATTCGCTATTTCTTTATTGAGACCTAGCACTTTGAAACGTGAATCATATCAATAACGAAATGTATTACCACAAGATCTTGATAGTGTCTATGTGGCAGAGATCGTCTTAGAGTGCTCGTTTTCTGCTCTGTACTGAGAGAACGACAAGATAGAGCAGATCGATCTTAGTGCATATACAGGAATTCCATTAGTTCAGTTGTCTGTTTTTGCACGACGCAAATGATAACCAACAACGATGAGTGATATTGTGGCTCAGATATTTCGTTCATAAAATGTAAGCACTGTCTGATATAAACGTATCTCAGATTTAAAGTTGACTAACAAAACTTTGCAAGTTGAATGTTGGCCGATTTGATGAACATAAGGCTGTAAAAACAATACATGTTTCAAAAATATTGCGCAACTCAATTTGTCAGCATCATTCGATTTCTTTGAGCATGACAAATCAAATAGTGATCTTATTTAAAAATTTGATTACATCTTGCTTTCGATATGATACATGCATTAATATGAAGTGGGAAGTTTTTGTTTTCTATTCTTCATCCGTTCTCCACGAACATGCTGTTGCCCTATTCATACCGATGAATACGTCTTTTGCTTAATTCTTTAAAACCGATGGAGAGTTTTGTAAAAACTAAGAAAACTGCAATGCGTTTGGCCATTCCGGGAAGAATCAGATGACGTTTTATTTTACATAGAATGAATGCTATTAAGCATCGGTAGTAGATGTTTTACTGGAATTCGTTACTAGCTTACATACGAACAGCAGAATTGCAAAACAACTAGATGTTTTGGGAGATGAAAAATCAAACGAAAATTCAATCGAAATTGATACACCTGCTATCATAGCTCATTTTAAACTAATATATAGTGATTGTTTCGCAATCAATTCCCTACGGATTGAAAAAAAGGTATAGACTATTCTAGAAGCTATAATTCATTTTGGCATGATCTTGAAAATTAGAGTTACGTAATATCTGCAAACATTGTACTTGTTTTTTCCATCAGAATTAGACTCGTCGACTCTATATTGTTTACCAGAGAAAATTGCTTTTTTGTGGTCTAACCTGATGATCGTGTTGGAATATTTGTTATGCTTCCTAATCTGACTAAAATAGCTTTCTCGATTTCAATCTTAGCTTACACTTAGACAAAACAAATTGAAGGATAGAACGATCATATCTTCATTCTATTCAAATTACATAGTAGTGAAAATTTTCTAATTGAATTACTTAATTGTTACACAGATCGAAAAACCTGCTTGATTCTTTTCAAGATTGACTTCGACATAATTACAATTTCAATCGCTGAATAAGTTCATTGGGAAAAATAACTATTAAAGTGCTTTAAAATAACAACGCTGAATAATTAGAATTTCTTTTCTTAATCAATTGTAAATATAGTTTCTTCTGCTGTCGATGAAAATATTAATTTAACCTACACAAATGATGATATTCGGCTATGCACAATGCAACGTGCCATACCACAACAGAAAATAGGTGTTCAATTCCATTATTTTCCACCAGAACGATTCCATTACTTTAAACTTACTGAAGATTTAGCATCCAGTTTGGCTCATCGAGCAGGTCTAAAACCATACGATCGAATCATCTTTTACAATGGCATCAATGTTGAGAGTGACACCAAATATCAGTTTAGTGAACTTTTCAAAACATCACGAAATCTTCCAGTTCAAGTGCTTGTTTGTAGTCCGGCTACATATGAACATTATAAAGCAAATAATAAACGTTTTCATTATGATCTCCCAACTATTCAACGTTTGAAACCCGTATATGCAACATCAAGTAACGACTACACTTCTAAGTATTAAGTTCTATTTAATTATCGGTTTTATTTTAGTAATGGATTCACATACAGATGTTCCAGCGGTTTCTTTTGATCATAAAACTTTTTATGCTGTCAAATGGGTAGACAGCAACGTTATTTCGACAATGCCTCAATCGGCAGCTTTCAAAGCACCAGAGTTTACTAAAGTGGATGACACCTGCTTTATTGAAATAGAAGGAGAATATCGAAAAGGCCAAATCATTGACAAAGGTGTCCGCGTTTAATATATAAAAATTATATAACAAATTTGTTTTTCTTTCAGGTACACGAACCGAGTGTGACAATTTGAGTAAACTGTCGGTTCAACCAGGAATCAATGATTATTTGAGTACATTCCAGGTATGTTTAGATTTGCTTAAAAATAAATTACCAATTTCATCACGATTTCTCCTACCTATAATCAATCCATTAAATGATGCCGTTAGAAGGTTTAACACAGCCCTTACAGCTTTCAGTAATTTTCAGAGTTTTCTAAATTAAATATTTACTATAAAACCAAAAATCGAAAAAATCATTGAGATTTCTAGATAAATGTGTTCCTCCATTAACGTAGGCAACTATGAATGGAAGGAATATGTGCGATGTCAGCTGCTGAAGAAACTTAAAAAAGACCCGAATTTCTATGCGAATGAGCGTTGAACATATCGATGAGTTTTTACAAAGAAGAAATACTCTACCGTACAAGATGCTATAGGTTTTAAAAATGAGTTAAATTACTTTAAATTCCATAGACCCGTATGACTATATGGATAGATGTGGTTGCACACGGAGAAGAATATTAAAATGGGTATTTCATTAATTTCTGAACAGATCCTCTGACTTTATTGGTAGTTGGCATAGTATTCGTATTCGAAAGTTCAAGCAATATTGCTACGTTTCAGTGATTCATCGATCAGAAAAGTCTCGAGTATTCTGGATTCAGATGTAAGTGCGCAACTCATTACAGGTTTACTGACGACAAGTCTATATCTTCATTAGATGCAAAGATGTCATTTTCTTTGGTAAAAACGACCCCTGTATGCCTTATATAACTGATTTCGTGCTTCAGAATAATCCTTCTTCTATGTGTAAAAAGCAACTCTATTTATACAGACGAGATGAATGATAATTCAATTTTTTTCAATAACAAGGGTTTAAAAGTAGATATTCTAACAACTTAGTTATTTGCTTTAGAGGCTGGAACTTGAACGAACAGAAGCGCAAGTGGCTATTCAGGATCCAACAGCTGATACTCAAATAAGTCAGGATAACGATGTCGTACAGTGTCAACGTAAGTTACATCTGCAGTCATTTTCTAAGAAAGCTTGCAGTATGCAATCAAGATGAAACGAAAATATCTTTAAAGTATCAGAATGCCATCGAGCATTATCATTCCATGAGTGTCCTTCACAAGAACGTCATCTCCTGAGGGGATTATAATAGGATACAATGATCAAGCGACATATTCATTTCCAGTCTTACTCCTATTCTAGATGCGCACTTTAAACAAAAACAGAGTGTGGTTGTAGTTGATGAACAAGAAAAACTCGACACCCATACCCACACCAGTCTCATATTTGATGAATAAGTCTTTTAGTTTCTTTGAGATATTCTTATTGTTCAGCGAAACTCACTGATGCAAAACATTGGACTATCGATGATGTTTGTCGATGGGTTCAGTCGCTCAAACAGATTGGGAAAGATTATTCGAATAGTTTTCGCGCCAATGGTATTGATGGTTCATTCTTATTAACATATGTCGATGATGAAGTTCTCAAAGAATTAGATGTATCTGCTGTTCATCGGAAATTAATTATGAAAGAAATCAAGGAATTGAAGAGTAATCGTTATTCATTATCAACAAAGTCAGGTTTTTATGGGGAATTCGAAGGTGACTTTACTCCTTTTTTGCATGCAACTAAACTATCATCAGCATCAACCACCTTTTCAAATGTATCCGCCTGTGTACTAACGAAGAAAGAGCATTCTACAATCGTATCGCGTATTTACAATTGGCTCGGCACTTTGCCAACATGCTATAGAGTTGAAAAACTGGAATTCATATTTAATTCTGGCATTTATCGAAATTTTCTCGGACAAATCGAGATCGTGGAGAGTCGCCAGAAAAAGCCAGAATTTCAAGCGACGCTTGACAAGGAAAACGTTTGCAAACAACGTAAGCAAGTCTTGCAACGTCTTGAAACTTTATGTCATCAAGTATCACATAATCGCCGCTTGCGTATAGCGCGAATGTGGCATGGATGTCGGAGAAGTGTTTTGCCACATCTTCTATCCGATGGATTTGCGGCTCTCAGCATGTTAGACGATGGTTGGTATGGTAAAGCTATCTATTTCACGTCTTCAGCTAAATATGCCACTCGCTATTTCCGGGAAGATAACGGCTGCTTAGTTATGTGTTACGTGTTGCTGTTAAATCCGTTTCCTGTCGTTTCAGATGATGCACCACCTGACGTACCACCAGAAAAGTTTCGCTTCTATGGTAGAGGCAATTATAAAAACTATCAATGCCACTACATACCTGTTTCACCTGTTGGCGGCAAAAATACTATGGATTATCGTCCACCACCAACAGGTGATATAGACGATGCCGAATATGATGAACTTGCTGTCTTTCAAGAAGCACATATTTTACCGCAGATCGTCATATATTGTAACACTGACGATTGAGCGTATCCTATACTGGATATTGAACTCTTCCGTATCATTTCTTCTTGTTTTTTTTTCATTGTCCTTATCCTTCTATCATTGATTTAATACCCAGTTTTTCTATTATTTCTTTTCAATGCCGTGTATATGTAAGCCAGATGAGAATGTATGTTCGAGTATATCTCTGCTCTACACATACCCTCAAAATAAAACTTTGTGATCAATGACTACTGGCACGTACGGAATCAAAACTAGACACGCTCTTCTCTTTCATAAACTGGGTGTGAATGTGGGTGTTGCATGATTCCCCATTTGAGACATCCAATCCCTCAAGCATCGACTTTGTTTACAGCGTATCTGGTCATTGATTCGATCAAGTCTTGTTAAACCACGACTAGTCATATCATACCTTAATGCTCGTTTTAGTGTAGTTAGCACAACTTTCACACCATTATGACCTTGACATGCCATACTATACAATTTGGGACGTTCACAAAGAACAACGTTCGGACCAAAAGCTAAACATTTCAACACATCGGTTTCGCTTCATATGCCACTATCTATAAATACTTCACAAAGACCATTCACAAATTCTATAATATCTTTCAAACACTCCATAGCTGTTAATCCACGATCTAATTCTCGACCACCATGCTTACGATGACAAAAAGCTTTTCTATATTTAGGATCAACAATAAAATTACGCATACCTGATCACAATTCCATCGGCAACATATTCTAATGTTAATTTTGTATCTTCTATAGAGAAAATCTCATTGCAGATGATTGGAAATTTTTGTCAACTGTCTTAACCANCGATAAAATCAGATTTTATTGTGATATTGAAAAGAAAACCGATTAATCGTAATCGCTGAAAAATCGGAATGAGTAATCGCGATTAATCAGATGTTTATAAAATAATCGGATGTAAATGTGTATTGTTGAGTAATTAAAATTTTGAGATAAATCTACAAAAAATACAAATTCAGTGCACTCGATTGTGGCTTTAGACGTGCACATAATGAACAATGGAAAAAAATTAATTAGTACATTTCATGTCAATAGCATATCTTTCATTTGATTGGACAATCCAGACAAAGAGCAATTATTCGCTCATTGTTTGTATTCTTTAGAAAAAAATATTTGAAAGTTTGATTTCACTAGCATTAAATATTAATGCTAATTCAAGTATATATATATAAATTCCTTCTATTGCACAGAATTCAGTTTTTAGTCAAGGTTTAATGATTTTTTATGCATTCAGGCACTAGAGCTCATAATAATCATATTTCGTTCGATCAACATAAAAAAACATTCATTTCATTTTAAACAGTGAAAAAAAAATAGCCAAAGCTATGCGAAATCATAAAGTAAAGAAAACTGATCTTAGTCAAATATTTAGTTTTCTTTTAGATTCAAATCGTATTGTGTGATACGACAGGATCTGAAGTATCAACACGAATTTTTAATCCTGGCAATATTGTAAGTAGAAATGTATTAAATTTCTTTTTAACCTTTTTCTTTCTATTTTCAACCCTAGTAGTGGAAAAAAAATGGTCTTCTTCAAATTTCAGGTGAAAAAGAAAATACAAGTAAATTGTATTAGGGACTGCCGATGAAAATTTCAAGAAGAAAAAGAACTTCGTCATATTGATTCATCTTGTATGGATACAGATGATCGAGTTAGAATGATTAGAGGTAAGCCATTTCAACTGCACTACGTAACTATTTTTATTTGTATAATAGGTTCTCTTCAAGTTGAATTTCGTTTAAGAGCTAATTTGCAGGTAACAATTTGAATACTGGTGCTCAAATGTATCTGGTCTTAACAAAGGAGCATCCGGTAATATTTTGAAAAAATGTAACTGAATCAGATGTTTTTCTCGGTAGGTTCTAAAATATACTTCCACGTTTTTCTCTTCTAGATAATAATAATTTTGACAATGATTTTAAAAATAAATCAACATGATTGATATCATCATTACAAGAAAATTTCAGCATCCGAAAAATCGATAGACAGTTTTAATGATTGTAAAAAATGAAAAAAAAAATATTCAATTTCGGTATTTTTATTATTGAAGCTATTTTGATTATTATAATTAACTTTTGATTATGATGTTCGGCATGATGTTTCATATACATATATAGATTTTACTTATATTTTACTTCTTTCATTTGAATCTAGTATTTCTGAACTCATTTGTATAGTTTTCGTAGCATTGAGATGCCATCTTTCTGTATCTCAAGGGTTATTCATGTTTTCTACGTTTCTTTTTGTCATCTCCCGTAGTACATAGGTATTCTAACATTTCCTTTTTTTTCTATTTTCTTTTGTGCGACTTCATGGGAGAATTATGTGAAAAATGAAAAGGTAACCATCTAATTTTTTTCGTTTTCTTTTTTACTTTTAATTTAAGCGTGATCAAAATGATAAATGTTTTTTAAATAAAAATAAATTTAAAAAATAGATGGAGATAAAAAAAATAAATAAAATTTCTCTGAAATCGCGATAATACCAGATCAGATGGGCGATAAAGCTATAGTTAATATGTAAAAAATCGGGAAACAAATCGCGATTTATCGTAATAATCACTAAAAATATCATTAAAAATCGGCGATTAATCGCGTTTCAGCTCACAATTATCGTTTCGATATATCACGATTAATCGCCAATTTTTCAGCGATTTTCAGGACATGGG